TTCAAAAAATAATTTTTTTTGTCGCGAAAGCATTTTAGAGGGGAAAGGCTAACATCTTAAACGTAATTTTAGAGGGGAAAGGCTAAATCTTAAAAGCAATTTTAAATTATATCATTGAACTAAGAATTTAATTTCCTATCCAAAACCGTTTAGATGTATTTTTTACGTTTCCGGTTCAAAAAATATTTTTTTTGTCGAGAAAGCATTTTAGAGGGGAAAGGCTAACATCTTAAACGTAATTTTAATTATAATTATACCATTGAACTTAGAATTTATTTTACTATCCATAACCGTTTAGATGTATTTTACGTTTCCGGTTCAAAAAATAATATATTTGTCGCGAAAGCATTTAAGAGGGGAAAGGCTAACATCTTAAACGTTATTTTAAATATTATTATATTATATACATCTAAGCGGTTTTGGATAGAAAATTAAATTGTTCAATGATATAATAATATTCAAAATTACGTTTAAGATGTTAGCCTTTCCCCTAGAAAATTCGCGACAAAAATATTATTTTTTGAACCGAAAACGTAAAAAAATACATCTAAACGGTTTTGGATAGAGAATTAAATTCTGAGTTCAATGATATAATTATATTTAAAATTACGTTTAAGACGTTAGCCTTTCCCCTCTAAAATGCTTTCTCGACAAAAAAATAATTTTTTGAACCGGAAACGAAAAAAAATACATCTAAAAATCCTTAAAAAATTTTTATTTCTCATTTACTTCTTTATTAGGTAATTACAATATTTATACTTACTTAATAAAATCATAACCAAATATTAATTTAATTAAAAATATTAATTTAATTAAAAATATTAATTTAAAAATTAATATAATATAATTAGTTTTTAAAAACCGGTAATTATTTCAAAGAATTATTAAAAAAATTGAAAAGATCTTAAAATTTCCATATTTTTAATATATTATAATGTAATGTTATTATAATATTTTTTCTCTAAAAAAAGCAATAAATCAATCAAATATCTCATTAATCATTTTCTTTGTTATTTTTATTTTCAATATTATTTTTTAGCCTTTCGTATTACCAAGCCTTTCGGACCTTGCGCTCCCCTCTACCCTTAATATAATATATATTGTCAATATTTAATTTAGTTATCCGTATCTTCGAATTAAAAATTTATTCACATGATATTCCACTTTTTCTTGTATAAAAATTCTCGTTGTAAAGTAAGTAAATCATAATTATTTATTATTTCCCTCGGAATTTCATGATTTATATAACTTATTTGGTGCATGAGGTCCTCATTGACCTCACCAAATCACTTGTGTAACTTTTCTTTTTCTAGCATAAATTTAAAAATGTTATACCGCTATATCAGTATAATTTATTATTTGATATCAAATTATTGTTTTAATAACTTGTGTTAGTTAAAACAGTTCAAGTCATTATTATATTATATAATAAATAAATACATAATTAAATAATGAAAGCTACAAATTAATTTGATTCTAAGCACAGTTGTTAAATGGTACTTTTCAAATATTTTTTTTAAAATTCTGGGCTGTACAAACAGGGTTGCCATGTCTCCCCTAATCAGCGGGAGACTCCCGCAATTTTTTAGTTTACTCGCAGAAATCTCTCTCCCGCAAAACTACCGCAATTAAAAATCTCCCGCAAAATCTACGGCAATTTTTTAATTTCTCCCGCATTTTTTTTCGTATTTAACATTTTTAATATATAAATAATAATTTTGAGAGACATTAATTGATTATTTTTATATTTTTAAGATAAATTTTAAATATTTATTCGAAAAACATGTCTAGTTTGTAAATTTCTTTCTATCCTGATTTATTTTTATCCAATAATAAATCAACATCATTTCATTCATATAAGTCAGCAGGGAAGTATATTAACATCGATTGCAATACAAAAATATTCTCAAAAATAAATAATACGGATGCAACTACATTTGCGGAAAACATATACATCTATCATTTAGTTCAACATTCACAGAGCTATATCATCACAATGTGGGTTGGATCTTTTTCTAATGATATTTAACGACTCCAATATAAGTGCAAACCTTACTTGTGGCAGAACAATGAGCATGGCTATCACAAGTGTTTTAGTACCTGAATCCTAGAGGCCAATTCTAGACGATAAGATGGGCATCCATATGCAATTCTAACAGATGCATCTAATATGGGAAATATTAAATTTCCCTCGATCCTTCGCTATTTCAGCAAGAATAAGAACATTTCAATAAAACTGTTAAAATCTTTTGCTCGGATAGTGAAAAATCAAACGATGTATCTAGCCACATAATGGTAAATATAGCTGATTCCGGGTTATCAATGATTTGCATGTCAGCTTTCTGCACTGATAATGCCTCTTTGGCCAAAACCAAAGTTACTGAATTAACAACAATAATGAATTAATACCAATTGGCTGTATATGTCATATACTACATAATTCTTGCAAAAAGGCAATAAATGTACTATCTGTGGATGTCGAAATCATTGTGATGAAATGTTTTAACGAATTTAATTCATCAACTAAAAGAGTTAATGAATTAAAAGAGTTGGTGAAGTGGTCTGACTTGGAATGGTGCGAGTTGTTGCGATATATACCTATCAGGTGGTTATCATTAATACCTGCCATCGATAGAAATTTAAAATTTTACGAACCCCTTAAAAAAATATTTCTTAAATAAAAAATTTAAAAGCTGTCCTGAAATTTTGAAAAATTTTTTTGAAGATGAAATGGCAGAAGCTTATTTAGGATAAGTTTCAGATGTAGGAAATCTACTTCATGCAGTTAATATTCAGTTGCAATCAGGATATTCTTTAGTAAAAAAGATTCACAAAATCATGCTACAGCTCTGTTCATCTCTACAGTTAAAAATTGATAATAAATTTCATGACGCTATTGCTAAAAATATTATATTAAAATGTTCAAATAATATCTAATTAATACATTTTTAAATGAAGCAGATATTTCTATTAAGACAATTTTAGATTATTTACAATCAAAATTTGATTTCATTAACTCTATTTACAAATGTATAAATATTATGACCTTGGAACATTTGTAATTTAATAAATTTATTAAAAATACCGAAATACATTGATGTCTTGTTTGAGGAGATTATAATTCTCTCTATTTTTTATGATTCGTCAAAATACTTAAAGTTAGATGGTCAAAAAACAGAGGAGAAATGGGTAGAATTTTTTTGTAATATTGATAAATCCCCATACTTGGAAAAAATATGCGAGTATGTCTTCTCCTTACCTCATTCTAATGCCTCATCCGAGCGCATTTTTAGCCTGATGAGAACTGCCTGGAAAAAGGAGAGAAATCGGATTGCTTTAACAACATTAGAGGCCGAACTAATGGTTAAATAAATATATAATATATCATGCCAGGAATTTTATAAATATCTCAATAACGACGGCAAACATTTAGTTATATTATTTAAATCTCAAATAAAATTTAATTAAGTTTTAGCAATGGCGCCATAAAATCTATTGTCAATTTTTAACTGTAAAGATGAACACATCTGCAGCATAATTTTGTGAATCTTTGTTAATATTCTTCTGATTGCAACTACACATTAACAGCTTATTAGATTTCCTACATGTGAAATCAAGATATACCTCTGCCATTCATTATTAAAAAAAATTTTCAAAATGTTAGGACAGCTTTTATAATTTTTATTTAAGAAATATTTTTTTAAATGTTTATAAAATTTTAAAATTCTATCGATGGCGGGTATTAGGAACATATCGCAACCAACATTGTGCTGACTCAATTCCGTAAATACACTCTGTTTTTACCAAATTCACTGAGCTGAGGCATTATCAGATCAGAAAACTGACATGCAATTTGGTTAGCTATGTCTTTGGATTTTTCACTATTTGAGGGGAAAAAATTTAATAGTTTTATTGAAACGACCTATTTTGTTGAAATAGAGGAGGATCAAGGGAAATAATTTAATATTTCCCTTATTAGATTCATCTGTTAGAATTCCATATGTATGCCCATCTTTCAAATCGTCAAGAATTGACCTCCTGGATTTAGGTCCTAAAACATTAATGATGGACCTGCTCATTTTTGTTCTACAAGTATAGTTTTCATTTATATTAAGTCGTTAAATATTATAAGAAAAAGATCCTACCAACATTGTGATGATAAGTACCTCTGTGAATGTTGTGCTACAAGATAAGTTATTACAATTGTCGTAACTGTAGTTTCATCTGTATTATTTCTTATTTTTGGAGTACCATATTATGTATTTAAACGTGATATGTGATAATTAAGCACCTATCCCTATAATCTTACACACACACACACACACACACACACACACACACACGGTAGATTTCTAATTGCGGTCGTTTTGCGGGACATTCGCATATTTTTTATTGTAAAATTAAAATCGTTTTTTTTATAAAATTTTATCTTGTTTACATTCTTTTATATTTAAAAAAGATCGTTGGTTTTTTTATAAATTAATATATTTGAATAAATCAAGATGTTATTTTATTTTGAAAAATAGTTACCGACTTTGTATATTTATATAAACTAATTATAAAAAATAATAGGCGGATAATTAAGTCAATTCAAAATCCCTTCCGAAGGCCGGTGTAACGTGTGAAAGTGATTACCGTGAGATTTCGAATTCTCACACCATCAAAATCTCACGGCTGAAACCGTGTGAAAGTGATTTCATGAGATTTTGATTTTTATCGCTTCAAATACATTGGGGGCCATTTAAATCATCAAAATCTCACGGCTATTCAATATTTCAAAATCTCATAGATATTTTTAAAATCTCGCATTATTGATTTAAATATACTTTTAAAACGTCAGATTTGATTGAGGCTGTCAAATTAGAAATATTTCTATATAATACAATTTAATTTGAAATTCTTTTTCATTATGAAGTAAATTTTAACAATATATTTTTTATTTCAGAAATATTTTAGCTCAAATTATAATGATATATATGACTTCCTAAAATGTTCTAACACCGCCTTCAAGATTATAGAAAATCAATTATTCTATGGGGAAAGTAAATTTTAGATATGTCATGATTAATTTATTAAAATTAGCCATTATAAGTTTAATGTAATATATTATTTTTTAACATTGAAAAATGCTCAGGCCATTAATTATTATCTTTTTTTCATCTAAAATTAATTATAGCTGCAAATGTAAGTGTATATATATATATGTAAGAACATTTGATAAAATTTTACATATAGGCATTTTTAAATGCTATTTTACAACTAAAATTTAATTTAGATTATCACATAAAGATGAAAAGTAAATGTTAGATTTATTTATTATAATGTATATTGGGCTTATAAATGATTGCATAATTAATTTATTAAAGTTAGGTATTATAATATATACAACTAAAATTGTATGACAAAATTAAGTGCAGTTTATTATTCTAGCCATTGATTATATATATTTTTTCTGCATCACAAATATTATTATATATATAATTTAATGATATTTTAGAAGAAAGAAAAGTTATACTGACAGGTAGTGTTGTTAAACGGCTTGTTTTGAGCCGATTTTTAAAAACGGCTAACTCAATATTTCGTCCAGAATAGTATTACGCAAGCCTGAAGATTTTGTTCATAGAAGGAACAAAGGTTTGGACATCTATTAGCGAAATCTCGAGGCTTAGAAAATATTTTCCTGGATATTGAATTAGCCGTTTTTAAAAATCGGCTCAAAACGAGCCGTTTAACAACACTGCTGACAGGAGATGAACAAAAAAAAATAATTAAAACAATACATGAGGGGGGTGTATCTACAGTTGCAGGTATTGCTATGGGAGGGCATCTGGGGATTAATAAAACTAATAAATTGCAATATTCTTTTAATTATTTTTTTTAAGCTTTTATTGGTTGGGGAGCAATAAAAGTGTTAGAGAGTTTATCAAATCCTGTGAGGTTTGTCAAAAATCAAGCAGTCGTTTTGATAAAACCTCAAATGTTTTGCACAATATTAAAGTTGTGCCAAAGTCTTGGTATCAAATTGGCATCGATTTAATCCAGATGCCAGAATTTAAGGAAAAATACAAATATATTTTATGTGCCATATGCTATTTTTTAAAATATTTAATGGCTATTCCTATTAAGGATAAAACAGCTAAATCTGTTGTAAAAGCCTTATACATCATTGTCAACACCCATCAATGCTATGAAGTAATAAAATAAAAATACCAAGCAGGGAATTCTGTAACAATGTTACAGAATTCCATAAATATTGTGGGATTGTCCAGAGAGTAACCTCAGCCTACCACCCACAAGCAAATGGTTTGGTTGAGCGAGTTAACAGAACAATCCAGAACCGAATAGCAAAATCGGTTTTGGATATCCCAACTGACTGGCCAGATGCTTTGGTAGGGGTGTGTGGCACCTACAATTCTTGCATACACTCTTCTACGGGATTTTCGCCCTATGAACTGATGTATGGTCAGAAACTACGACGCCCTCTTACAGTAGAAATAATTTTTAATGTTATATTTTTAATTAATATTTAGTTACAAAACAAAATTGAGGATGTATTAGCCTTAGCAGAGGTTATGGCAAAAATAACAATTGATCATTGTTTAAAAGAAGAGTTAGAAATTAAAATGGCTCATCTTAAAAAAATAACGGAACTGGCTATACAAAATATTGGTATAGCCCAGCTTAAACAAAAAAAGGATTACGAAAAAAGATCAAATGGTTCTAAATCTTTTATTTTGGGACAAAAGGTTCTTGCTTGGAACCATAAATGGTTAGATAGGAAAGGGGGGAAAATGTTGAACCCCTGGATAGGCCCTTATTTGATCAATAAAATATTTGATAAGGGTAATAATTTTATATTATATTAATTATTACTGTATATCAAGGTGTATATGAATTAATAACCACGAATAATCTCATATTAAAAACAAAATATAATTTATCCAATTTAAAAGAATTTATTGTAAGAAACAATGAATATCCAGATGAAAATGGTAATGATTTTTAAAAAATTACATTTTTTATGAAGTAAAAAAAATATTTTTAGATACAAAAATTAATATTTAATAACTTTATAATTATTTTTAATGTTTTTATTATAATTAATGCATTGCCTTTAGATAGTAGTTCCCAAAATGGCCTTTATGATGAAATTATTCCACTTGCTACGGAGTTTGTTGATCCAAACTCTTCCAGAGGTATTGTATTTAGGATATATATTTGAATTATCTTTTGAATGATAATTTTATAATTATTTTTTGAATAATAGCCTTATTATTATTTTTAATGTTTTTATTATAATTAATGCATTGCCTTTAGATAGTAGTTCCCAAAATGGCCTTTATGATAAAATTATTCCACTTGCTACGGAGTTTGTTGATCTAAACTCTCCTAGAGGTATTGTATTTAGGATATATATTTGAATTATCTTTTGAATGATAATCTTATAATTATTTTTTGAATAATAGCCTTATAATTATTTTTAATGTTTTTATCCCCCCATTTTTTATATAAATAAAATTATTATTAAATATTTTAATATTGTCGCGAATATAAAAATGGGTCATATCGGGCCCATACAAAATTATCATTATATTTTATATAAGTAAAAATAGCCGTATTTAACATTGTGGCCATCGCCCTGACTTCTGTATCAGAAGCCCATATCTGCTGTGTCATTACATTATTTAAGACATAAGTTTTTATGTCTATTTTTTTGTTCGTGTCGTAAAGATAATTTTCAATTACCTTTCCCATCTCGAATGTTAGCATAATTTGATTTATTTTTTAATTTATTACGTATACAGAATTGGATGAAGATATTTTGATAATAAATAAATTAGAAAATATCCCTAGATATTTTTTTCCTACAACAAAGGTATGGAAAAAATATCATGCTAAAATATATGGTCTAAAGCCTCCCAAACGTTGTCGGGATGTAGACTATGGGAAACAACTTGGTGAACCCACCATCCTGGTGCAAATTGAAGGTGATGGGAATTGTTTTTATAGGTAAAACATATTAATATAAAATTTCATTTTATTCTACTTTATATAATTTAGGGCGATTAGTGTAGAGCTTACTGGAGCTCAAAATTCCCATGTTATTCTCAGGCAATGGTTGGCACAATTTATGCTAACATCCGAGATGGGAAAGGTAATTGAAAATCATCTTTACGACACGAACAAAAAAGTAGACATAAAAACTTATGTCTTAAATAATGTAATGACACAGCAGATATGGGCTTCTGACACAGAAGTCAGGGCGATGGCCACAATGTTAAATACGGCTATTTTTACTTATATAAAATATAATGATAATTTTGTATGGGCCCGATATGACCCATTTTATATTCGCGACAATATTAAAATATTTAATAATAATTTTATTTATATAAAAAATGGGGGGAGTCATTTTGAAAATGTTTTAGATTGCGATTTATCTTCCATCTAATCATTATTTGTTTTTTTTATTAAAAAAAATTTTTTATATAAAAATATATAAATATATTTCATTCATATTATAATTTATCGCCTTATATATATATTTTTTATGAAAGTTGTAGTTTATAAATAATATTCAATTACATTCTGATATGCAATATATGATAATAATTATATTTTTCCATGATGTTTTTATTAAATTTAAAATGTATAAATATTTATATCAATAAAGTTCTTCGTCTATTTTCTTATACCAAATAAAGTTTTATCTAATATTTGTGACCCAATTCAGTACAAAATAATATAGAGATGGATTATCTTTAAAACATTATATTAGGTAAACAAAATAAGCATTACGATTAAGCCATTTAGGCTAAGAATTTATCTTACTGTTTCTTTGCAGTGATTTTTATAGGGTTGGGTAGAAAAGGCGGTTTGCCTCTAGTAAATTTTCAGTCATATATGAGCTTTGTCTAAATTAATGTCTATCGAGAAGATGTACTTTGTATAAGAAATATCATGGGATCGGAGTATTTGGTTATTTTATAAATTTCATGTTGTGTAAATTAGCATGTTAGTAAGGATCTCTTCCCTACCTAAATATTGCTAAACTTTAATTATGATATTGATTGGAGCCTCCTATCAATAATCTGAACTAGAGGTCTGGATTGGGTGGTTTTTTCGCCCGTACTTGAAAAAAAATATTTTCAACATTGGGCGAGAGGGTTAAAAAATTTGGGAGAATTTGATATTTTTCAGGCGAAATGAGCTGAACAGTAAATAGTTTTTCATAATATTCCATATTATATTTTTAATTAAAAATACATTAAAATAAATAAAGAGGCAAACCAGCCATAAAATAATTTTAAAACAAAATATATATAAAAAAAATTATAAGTGAGAGCGAGGGCAGGTTAAATAAATCTTTTGGCTAAAAACCCGCCCATTACAGACCTCTAATCTGCATATCTTATCACACACTATTTGGTATGATATGCAGACTAAAAATATAAATTTAAAACTATAGAGAGGCAGCGACTATTTAGACAAGATAGATAAAAAAAACAATTTAAATAAAAAATGTAAGCTACAGGATTTGAACCCGCAGTTTGAGGATAGGTAATGTAAGTCTTACTAACTAGACTACCCACCACACCTTGTACTGCTTAATTTTATTTGTTATATATAATCTACTTTTTAATTAAATTTATATATATCAAAAAGAGAAATTTTATTATATTGTTAACTTTAATGATGTTAAAATAAAGATGAGCTCTTGAAATGAAACAATATATATTTTACAAAGCTGAAGTAAGCTATTCAAATTAATTATTTTTTAAAATATTTTATTATTATTCTATGTCTAAAAGAACTAAAAATATATCAATATACATATATAAAAGTTAATTGAAAAATATATAATATAACAAATGTTTACAATCACGTTTAGTGAATAATAAGTAAATTAAAAATAACCAAAGTCGACTATGGTAATTGAAATAGTTAAATTATTTCAAACATATCAATTAATAATATAAGATTAACTATTTAAATTTAAGATTAATTATTTAAATTTATTTAAATATATGATCAATCAACATATTACTAAAATATTATTTTAAAACATAGATTATAATTAAATAGTTAGGTGTGATACCATTATTGTCTCTATATTATATTTTATATCCTTAACTTTAATGATGTTCCTTGATTTTACAGCTCTCATTATTCGACTTAATGATCTTAAAAAAATAAAGATGAGTTCTTAAAATGAAACGATATATATCTTGCAAAGCATTATTAAAATATTATTCTAATACATAGATTATAATTTAACAGTTAGGTTTTATACTATTATTGTCTCTATATTATATTATCATTTAAATTCATGTCATGAAAATTTTTGCTTTAGATTTATCGCTTCAAAAACGTTGTCAAAATCTCACAACCCATCCGTGTGAAAGTGATTGCGTGAGATTTCGAAATCTCACAGATCACTTTCACACGTTACACCGGCACAAAAATTTTTTTTAGCAATTTTTATACTTCTACCGCAATTTTCATATTTCTCCCGCAATTTGAAAATTTTGATCTGGCAACCATGTGTACAAATGGTACCTCTGCAATTATATGCCTAATTTATATATCTATAGCTGTAGCATAGGGGCACCTCAAAAATGTGAAGAGTCCCCTGAATATTTATTTTCAAAATATTAGATTGAAATTCAAAAATTGTAACTGTCCTAGTTTTTTGTTCAACTTATTAATAGTTTTCGTTTAATGTAAAAAGTTATAATATTTTTTTATTTAAACATCAATCAATAATAATAAGCTTAATCATAAATAATAAATAAGGATTATTATGTTTTTGGAAACTTATTTTTTTGGTGATTTATCATTATTGGTTTTGATCATTTTTCGATTTTGATTGATTCTATTTTTTAGATGCAAAAAACAAATTCTTAATATTCTATTTTTTTTTATAAAAACAAATTCTTGATTTTAATGTATCAAGATTTATTTTTTCCGTAGTGTAATACAAAATTAATAAAAATAAACTGTCAAAAACCTTCAAGTGTCATTATTGTAAAAAAATTTATTTAAGTGTTAGAGTGTGAAGTATAAATTAATAATTATATCTGAGAGTAAGTTAGAAAACTTAAAAATTATCAAGCTATTTAAAATATCATACCGACTTGCCTTTCAACTTTTTTATAACCCTTCATTGCACAGGTGGGACTATGTAGAACCTAGTTATTTTAAACTTAAAAATTCTTTCGATATTTTTGCTTGAATCTTTTTAGTAGCTTAACAAAAATAAAGTATGTGTGCAAAATTAATTTGATTCCCACCTGGTCATCCCTGTAACTTTTTTTTTCTTGGCATTGATATATTAAGCATAAATGCTTTTTTATACATAATTTTTATTAATTAAATATCATATTCATTAAATAATTTATTTTTAATACCGGGTTTTATCTTTACAACTAAGATTTATTTATAAAAATATTACTATGATTAGCTTGTTCTTATTTTAATTAATTCCTTATTACCTGAGTCCAATTAGCATAGACCTAAATTTCCTTTACAATTATTAAGATATATAATTTAATCCTTTGCTGTAAAAGAACATACCATATCATTCCAACCCAATTAAAATGTTAGACTACTATTACAGTCCACACAGTACACAATTGATACAATTAATTTTTATATGGTTATGGTGACGTTGTTTAATTCAGGCCTCATACATGGACGAACCGTTTTAATTTTAACTGTTATAAATATTTTTAACCGGTTTAATCTGGTTCTTAAATGGTTTTAAAAATAAATAATTTTTAATTATTCCGAAATTTGATGAATATAAAATTATATAAAATATAAATATCTTATTTATATATTAACATAAATCCATTTACATAATAAGTAATAAACAAATATATTATGAAATTTGAGATAAATTTTTTATCGGATCGGAATGTCGATAACCGATATTTTAAAAAATGTGAAATATCGGCCTGATCTGATCCGATATAAAATATTGGTACTCCTTAGTTTAAATGTTATTATAATCTAATTAATTCAAGCGATTGATTTAGATAATCTATTAGATTTAGTTTAATTCGCGAATGTACATCCACAATAGTGCCTTAGCGGAAATAGTTATCGGTATTGACAAGATGGGATGAAATATATTATTTATTTTCATAGACATACTTGCCTGGTAGGTACTGCAAATAAAATGTGAAAATCCAAATTTTATAGAAGGTGCTATAAAGTATTATAGTTTTTATAAAACTTTAAAAAAATGTTATTTTTTTAAGTCATGGCACTTATTACAGGGTTTCCCATTCAAAAAAGGAAAAGTCCCAATCAAAAAAGGAAAAGGGTCAATCAAAGGATTCAATCATAAAAGGAATAGGTCCGATCAAAATTGGAAAAGTGTCAATCAAAAAAGGAAAAGTCCCAAAGACTTAGG